ACACGTGACATTTATTGTCCTATGAACCTCTTTTCACTTGGACAACGTTTTTGGGATCGACTGTATCATTCTTGACATTTTACAAAAAGAGTTCCGTGAATTTCTCCGATACGAATAATGAGGAAAATTTCAGGCTTCGCAAAATCCTTCTAGTTCAAAGGCTTAAAGCTCGATATGATGAGTTACTGACTAGTCGGAGTTAATAGAGGGGATTAACTCTGTACTAGTTAAACAATTAATGGTTTGAAGGTAAAATTAGTTCCCCTAGAGAATCACAGAAATCGAGTTTGACTTTAACATCGTTTCAAAACGCTTAACATTGTCTTAAAACAAAGATATATTGATCGAAAAATACCGAAACTTTTCTGTGTTTATATAGCTTAAAACTTTGTTCCACCTCGATGACCATGAAATGAAATTTTTGTTCAAAACAGCTGAATATTTTTTACACTATTTATCAACGGATTTGACCAACTTTATTTACAAAAAAATGTCGGTAAAAACTGAAAAATTGAGTAAATTTTGATGGTAATTTTATGAAGAATTCCAAGAGGGTGGTTCAAAATATGCAAATCCATTAAATGCGTTCCACCTCGATTCATTTCAAAGGGTTATTTTTCTAAAGAGGTCAGTCTCCAAGGACTTTGTGATTCAATAATTTCGGGGAAAAACACGAAAAATATCTTGTCGAACGATATGATAATGAATACCAGAATCCTAAAAAGAAAAAAAACCAGAGATAATTCTAAGAAGAACCGCCGACCGTCTCTTAAAGAGGAATTTTTTCACGTTGTCGAGAAGTCACTATTGGCAACGAAAACTTGGATATTTAGCATTCAAAAATACCAAAAAGACGATGGTTTTAAGTACCGTCATAATAAAAGCTGTGTAATACCAGTTATTTGGTAAAAGAATCAGTTAAAATTTATTAAATTTTAAGTGAGAATCAATGTGTGTCTCACCTCACTGATTCGTTGAAGCGCGAATTCCATGTGGATAATAAAATAACATCATCATTGTAATTTTATTCCAATTCTCACCAAGATATCATTATAATCACTCAAGTTAGTAGCAAATGCTTATACGTTTTGGTCAGAGGAAATTATAGTACATTACTAATAATTTCCCCCTGTTTTTGGTGCGGTTGCTGAAATAAGAAAGATATAATCGATGTTGCTGTAAATAGCGCTAAATATGTAGATCAATTCAAAAATTAATCAGCCCGTGACTGAAAAGCCCGCCATTCGAATTATTAATCCTAAGCTCTGATTTTAAGATATTTTTAAAATGAATTGATGTGGATTTTTTAAATAGTTTTAAATATTCCTGAAAACTATGGAATAGCATGTTAAACCAGCAAATGAAATAATCACTATAGGTATTGTTAACTTGAATATTTACCGAAAGATAAAGGAATTGCAATACAAATATGAACTGTAGTAAGCTAAGTTAGATTATAAACATGGCGAAATATATATACAAATATTATATATTATATACAAATATACTTACAGCTGTATAAGCATTGGTCCTTATACCACAGATCGCTGCCACAAGCTTTGTTTGTGGTGCTCACGTTGTAGTGGGGAAGACAACTTCTCGTCTTTTCGCACCATACACAAGAGCCCGCGCTTGTACRATACGAACAATTTCCCCTCTCACTACAGGAATTAGCACCAGAAGCCACACTTTGGGGGTTAAAATTCACACTCACGTCGCGAAAAGAAGGAACATTTTCTCTGGAATAAGTTTCCAGGAGTTCGTGTTGAGGAGTCGAAGGGCACCTTGTTTTTTGAAGACAGATTTGCTTGGGTGAACACTCGAAAATCCCATCCCTGCCACACCACGAGCAGCCAGATTTAGCAAGGCATTGATTGCAGTTTGGAGTTTCCTGATTACAATACTTTACTCTTTCTCGCTTAAGAAGCTGATACCGACGATATTTTTCTAAGTTCCAAGATCCTTGTACACTGTGCAAATAGCACAATCCTACGAATAAACTTAGCAGAATTCCCTTCATTCTTTCGGCAAACCTTCGTCGTCGAAACTTCTGCGCCGCTTAGGATTCTTTACTCGTCAGACAACTCCTTAGTGCAAAGTTTGCTTCTAATAGCCTTGAATGGCAATAATTTCGGGAAGTCGTAGATTAATCTATAGAGATCTGTAGTGTTCCTCTCAAGATAATTCACTTATGGTTGAATGAATCACTCGCAAAGCAGTGATTTACATACCCACTCAACTGTTGATCCGGCTCATTGTTTTCAACCTCTTTCAAAGAAAATTCCCCCGAGTCCGTTAACTCAAAACCATTAATATAATATCTTAAATATTTTACGAACTCTGAGCTTATTCTCTTACTTAATTCTGCTCCAAGTAATTAGGGATAAAATGACTTTCAATTATAGTTGTAATCTATTAAAGTCAAGGCAAAATTTTGAAATACAAATTAGAGATGCATCATCGATATTTGATCCGAAAATTATAAATGCAAATGATATCTTGGAAACGACAAAACATTTTAGAGTAAACCTAACCCCCAGGGGGGGTTACTCCGCCAGAATTTGGGTAGGGGTGTTCCGCTGGAATTCTGAAAGGGGTACCCTGTTTATGACAAAAAAAATTGCATTTGTATACCCTGTTTATGACAAAAGATATAATTAATTGCACTGAGTTCCTGTTTCAATTATCATGTCA